TCTTTCCTCTATTTCCTATTACTTTCTTCTTATCCCACTATCATGCTCAGCCTTTCATTTGGGTTTCAGTAATTCCTCTCAGTTACATTGCCCTTGATCACTCCCTACCAGGCCTCCCAACCCCTCCTTTCCACTGGTTTTGAATCACTTGTTGTTCCTTTGTCCCAGGGTTGGTTAACACCACTTCCCTTCTCCCACCTCCCCCTCTCCCATGTCCCCCTGGAACCATCAGTCCCGTTGTTTTCTTCTCCACATTGTTTATCCAGCCTATCTTATCTAGATAGACCTGCAGAGATAATAATATGCACATAAAAACTCAACAGCGCCAAACAAAGTGACACAGAAAAACAAAGCAGACTGATTTCTTAATAGATTGAGTTCATTTTACATTGAGCATGGCAGGGGCGTGGGGGGGGGCGGTGCTAAGGGAAAATCTCCTGAACATTCCTTACAAGTACAGATCCTTGCCTATCAGATTAAAACCTATCATATTAATGCAAGGGGAACCACTGAGATAATAAATGTATGGTGGTTCTGGGCTCCTTTCATTGGACGCCAAGGACCCCACCCATGGACCACTGACCACCATTGCCATAGCCTTGGATGGTCATCCTTTGCTTCCTCTCCCATCAGGGAATTTCAGTCCTAAATCCAGGGGCTACAGGTAGTTCTGAGGTAAGGCCCAGTTCAATCAGTCAAGCTTCTATGTAAAGTCCTTCTGGCATGGCCCTTGGAGATGCCATGTCCCCTGTAAGGCCAGCATCTAAGGTTATCATAGTGCTTAGAACATGGTATGGTTCACCAAGGGTTGGGTAGAAACATATACGAAGTGTCTGCCCAGGACCATAGAATCAGGTTTAGTCTCCCCTTAGATTCCCTACAATTATTGTTTAGCATCCCTTCCTAATGTGAAGTTGCTCCTCCCCATTTACCCACCACACCCACCAACAGAAATATCAGTTCTTCCTCTGAATGTAGATATGCTCCCCTCCCCTGGTCTCAACCTGATTTCCCAGTCAGGTTCTCCTCTCATCCCGTGGAGGGCCTGGTGATCTGTCGCAGCCTTGTCTCCAGTGTTGTGTAGCATCAAGTGGATGGTCTTCTCTTGTTCCCCTCTTCTTGAAGAAGTGAGCCCGGCCAATGTGAGCTCTCCTCTTTCCAGGTGGTTCTTTTGAAGTGCACATAGGGGGGTGTTGTACAGCTCATGGCCAGTAGGCGGATGTTCTACCATTTTCTTTGGGACTTGGTCTCTAAGATTTGTTTCATTGGAGTTTCTCCTTATAGTAGTGGCCTCAAACTCTATTTGTCCTTTTGTGATTGACTTACTTTACTCAGCATAATGGTTTCCAGGTCCTTCCCTTTCATGCAGTGTTTCATGCTTTCGCCACTGTTTTTTAGGGATGCATCGTATTCCATTGTGTGTATGTACCATATCCTTATCCATTCTTCCAGTGTTGGGCTCCTTCCAGTTTTTTGTTGTTGTGAAATCTGCTGCTATAGACATGAGAGAGCACATGTCACTGGTGAAACAACACTTCTTATGTCGGAATTAAAGAGTTGCCCACAATGCCAAAGGACCTTCCCACAGACAGCTTTTCAGAACTATCACCTGAAAGTCAGGGGTCTGCCATACCACTGCATGAGCTCCATCTCCACCTCCTT